GGCCCAAGCGCATCATTTGTGAGGGCCCGAAGAAGAAGCTGATCTGGTTCTTCCTGACTCTGCTGTTCGCTTCACTGGTGTTCTGGCAGTGGGGCATCCTCATCAAAACCTATCTGTCCTACAACGTTACAGCTTCTCTGGCCATTGGCTTCAAGACCATGACCTTCCCCGCTGTTACCATCTGCAATGCAAGTCCTTTCCGGTGGGTTCCCTCTGCGGGGATCCAGACTGGTATCGGTGTGTGTGTGTGTGTGTGTGTGTGTGTGTGTGTGTGTGTGTGTGTGTGTGTGTGTGTACAACCTGGCATTTATCAACTGTACCTGATATTCCTGTTAAAATTTGATGGGATTCCACCCAGGCTGCCTGTAAGGTTAAGCCAGGGATTTTGACTTGAGGACATGAACACTCACAGCCCACTCTCCCCATTTCCTTCTGTAAAAACCTGGTTCGGCCCAAAGAACCCAAATTGCAGGGCAGTTGGTACCCATGGTAAGAACCAGGCTCTTGATTGACCTTGACCCAGCAGAGAAGGTATTGGGCAGGAGATGCTGACAGGTTAGCTTGCAGATGCTGGGGAAGTGAGGAAGCAAGAAAGTTGACATCTTAGGATTTCGACACAGTCCTTGCTTTGGCTTCCTACCTGGCCCAGTGCCGAGTTATTGATTGGTTGCACAGGATCCTGTCTGCCTTTTCCACTTGTGATGACTAAACCTGGTGGGAACTTTCTTTGGCTCATCTCTCAGGTATTCTAAGGTGAAGCCCTTCCTGAAAGATTTGGATGAGCTCATTGAGGCAGCCCTTGAAAGGATCCTGCAGCCTCTTCAGGAAAATGCATCAGCCACCCCTGCAGCAAATCTAAGCGAGAAGCTCAACTTGCAGCTCTGGAACCAGATGCCCCTGGTCTTGATTGATGAGAGTGACGCAGCTCATCCAGTCATCCATGACATCCTTGGGAACAGCTCTCTTGCTCTTGGAGGGCACCACAACTACTCCTCTTTTGGCAACCCGGAAGCCAGGAGGTACAAGCTGGCTCTGAAACTGGTAAGCAGGGGAAGAGGAGGATGCCCCAACCCCAGATGAGGAACTCATCCCCTGCTCCTAGGCATGCCAATGTCTCCCCGGCAGATGGTGCAGCACCTCTGAGCTTCTGACTAGGACTCTTGGACAATTCACCACAACCAACTCAACATTTCTCAATGGCCATCTTGCAATGGCCAACTCACCATGGCCGTCTCACTGTGGACAACTTGCTGTGGGACAGCTCAGAAAATTCCATGTGGCATAACTCAAAAATGGAAATTATGTCAAAGAAACAGTGGCGGGTAACAGTGGCAGATTATTTCCTTGAGTTATACATGTTGAGCTGTCCCATGGCAAATTGGCTGTGTTGAAATGGCCATGGTGAGGTGGGCACGGTGAATTGTCCCACTCCACCCAACTAGACATTTCTTTGGCAGTTCTGCTGGTAACTGGGCCAAATGGTGGGTCCATCAGATCACTTGCTCAGCTGGAAAGAGCTCTTTATTTCTGGGCCAGCCCACCAGCAAGGTGTTATGTACCTGAAAAGGCCAAGGTCTCCTCAGAGCGGCTCGCCTTCCCTTCCAAACACATTCTCCCTTCCCTCCTGGTTGCCTCCTCAGTGCACACACCTCACCCCCCACTGCTTCTACCGGAAGTTCACCAGCGCAGCCCAGGCGATGGCCGAGTGGTACGTCCTGCAGTCTACCAGCATCCTGTCCAAAGTGCCATTGAGCAAAAGGATCGAGATGGGCTATCAGGCAGAGGACATGATCTTGGCCTGTCTGTATGGAGCTGAGCCTTGCAACCACAGGTACGTGCGCAGGGGAATTCACTGAGCATTTGACCTAGTTCCTTCTTTAAGTGCAGAGCCTTCTACGGCTCTTCATGCTCTGTGTGAATCCACCTGCTGCGGCCTACAGAACAAACCAGGATATAAAAGTCAGCCTGGGGTAAACCAAGGAAAAGGCAGAGATCTACTGCCCGAGCTTCCCATAAAGGACTCCACAAGCGAATTTGTAGCTGCCTATTTGCAGACTCTGAATTGAGGGTTGAGTGAAAGATGCAGCAGGAAGTGAGGGCACTTGGCTACCATATGTGGTGACAACCACAAGCCACAGTGTGTGTGTGTGTGTGTGTGTGTGTGTGTGTGTGTGTGTGTGTGTGTGGTCGGCAGAGACGCTCCCTTTGGTGACGCAAGCTGTGCTCCCAGTCTGGGGGGGGGGGGAATGTCCAAGGAGGGATGAGGGTGCTGCCTTCTTGGCCTTCCGGCTAAGAGCGCCTTGCCTGCTCTTCCTCCACTTCCTGCTGCCTTAATTCCCTTTCCAGCCCAGTCCGGTCTCGGAGGGTGGATTTTCCTCGGAGAAAGAAGATCCGGGGTACTGAAATAAGACTTTGCAAAAGCTTCAGTCCCAGATCTGGAGAAGCTTAAAGCCAAAACCAACGAGGCAGAGAAGGGGGCGGGGGGCTCCCCCAGGGCAGACAAGGCTTTGGGTGCTCACCCCCATGGATGGTCCCGGCCAAGAGGCTTGTGCTTTGGGTAGCCAGAAATCTTTGGGGTGAGCAGACATCCATCCCTTGGCAGGTTCCCTGTGAAGGTTCGGCTGAGGTGGGCCTGAGGAAGCCCCAGCGAGGCTGAGCCGGACGGGCTTCTCTGGTGCGAAGGCCGCTGGGGGTCCCGCTGCCCCTGGCCCTTCCCTGGCCGCCTCCTGGCCGTCCTCTGCAGAACCTCTCTGGGTCTTGTCTGCAACTCTGTGACCCTCTTGTCCCCCGACTCGGCTCAGAGGGCAGCTGCCTGTCCTTTTGGCCATGGCCTTGCCAGGAGTGATCAATCAATCAATCAATCAATGGATCCATCAATCATTTTAACTCCTGTTCGAAAAGAGGCAGCAAGCCAAATTCCCTCCACGTCTCACCAGGCAGCCGTTGGCCACAAGCCCCTTGTTTTGCTTTGCCCTCCGTCCATAGTTTGCTGATCCCCAACAGCTGCCATCCTGGACTACATATCCCCATAGGTCACCCCAGGACCCAGGGCAGCGTTGCCTCCTTTGCCTCCCGGAAATGCCAGGAGCCTCGTCAGCTGCTTGAAGGTTTCTGGCCCAAAAGGCTCTTTGGCTTAGACCCAGCTGGCCCCAATTGTTTCTGAAAACAAGCCTTGGGCAATAGGAGAGTATATTCATTTTATCAGGGAATTCATTGGAGTTATATCCTCCTTCCCCTTCTCATCATAGCACCAACCCTATGAGGTAGGCCGGGCAGTTGCAGGGAAAGAGGATGTGTAAGAGGGGTGCTCCGGATGCCCCCTTTCTTCTGGGTGTCAAACCCAGGCCCTGGTCAATGAGCCCAGAGGCCTCACAGGGACCACTTGCAAGGGTCAGTTAACGTCTGGCTCCTCCGGGGTCTTTCATGGCTCAGGGCCTCCTCCGAAGGCTGGAGGCCTGGGACTCCCAGCGGGTTGGCAGCTTCTTTCAAGAGATTTGCTGGCTGGCTGCTTTTGGCTGAAGCCAGGAGCCCCTTCATGTTCGTACTTTAGGCCTCTTGGGTTGTGTGAACCTGGCCAGTGCATGAATAACCTTCCCTGGGAAATCAAATCAGGAGGAGACACTCGGCTTGATCTGAATTTTCTGACTTCTCAGGGCAGCTCAGGGCTTAGGGGAGGGTTTCCCTGGAAGACCCCAAGGGCAGCGCCAGGGAGAGGATTTACTGCCCCCCCTCAAGTTTGGCAAGGGCCAGTCCAGCCAGTTTGAGGAACCCTCCCCCAACCCTCCCCATAAAAATAATCTCTTTGCTGCTTGGCTTCCGCAGAAACTTTACCCACCTCTACCACCCGGATCACGGCAACTGCTACGTCTTCAACTGGGGGGTGGAGAAGCAGCCCCTCGTCTCCTCCAATCCGGGGGCAGAGTTTGGTGGGTACCCATGGGAGGGGGTCTCAAGGCCTGGCTGGACTCCAGCTGGAAGTGGGGGGAGGGCTCTGTAGAGCTGGTGGGGACTCCATGCCTCTCCCCCCACTTCAAAGTAGATTTGGTGCCAAGAAAGGGAGAAAGGGCCTCGGGGTCCTGCACTGCAGCTGTGGTGTTTCATCAGTGCCGTTTGTGGGTCTAGAGACAGGGGGAAACCATCCTTAAGCTGGCATTGCTGTTCCAGGCTGAATTTGTGTGGGTGTCGATGCCAAGCCCCCTTACCAAGGCTGGGCACGGCTAGCCCAAAGCAAACTGGAGCAGGGAGACCCACAGAAGGACTCTGTTGCGAGCTCAGAGGCCCCGGCCAGGCCCTTCAGCCAAGCTTGTGGCCTGCCCTTCTCCAGGGTGTGGCCGAGTGGTAAGACGCTCAGCCCTTTGGGGCAGAGGCACCTGGCTGCCAAGATGACACCCCCAACAAAGAGAGTGAAGACAGGCTGGGCCCCTTTCCTTCCCGGGACTCCCGGCCTCTGGCTGATGCCTGTGGGGCTTCATCTCTGCAGGGCTGAAGCTGATCCTGGATATCAGCCAGAAGGACTACATCCCCTTCCTCACTACCACGGCTGGCGCCCGGCTGATGCTGCACGAGCAGCGCAGCTTCCCTTTCCTGAAGGACCAGGGCATCTACGCCATGTCAGGGACCGAGACCTCCATCGGCGTCCTGGTGGTAGGTGGGCCCCTCTGAGCTGATCCCCTGGAGAGAACTGGGACCCAGCCAGGAGTGGGAAGGGAATCTGGGGGTCTCCTGCATCTGGGGGTTGCTTTCCCCTTCTTGCCGGGGGTTCCCAAGAGGACTGCAACCCCTGCGTGCCTTCCACTCCCCTTTCTTCCCAGGATGAACTGGAGCGGATGGGCTCTCCCTACAGTGACTGCACCGTCAACGGATCCGACGTTCCCGTGAGGAACCTCTACGAGGACTACACTGCTTCCCAGGTGATGGGTTCTTCCCTGGTTTTCTGGAAGGGGCCCCCTTTCATGTCACTGGGGGACTCGGCAGTATGGCCAGAGCAGGAGCACTGGGGCATATTGATCTGGCTTGGGATACGAAGGGAGGATCCCTGGCTGACAGCCCCCTTGCCTGGTCTTTGTGGCCAGAGTCCTGTGGCCTTGCAAGGGTGGGCACCTGGGCCATTAATGCCCTTTTCCCATCAAGAGAGAAGGGGCAGCTGGGGGAGGGGCTCTCCTCCTGGACTGGCTGCCTTCAATGACCGGCCCTCTGTCTGGTAGGACTTGAGCTGGGGGTCCTGAAGGGGCAGGAGACTCGCTTCCCTCTGAACCTGGAAACCTGAGCAGCTTCCCCATCTGTGAAGCTGAGTTCTGGGTGTGGTCTCTGCTGCCTCAACTGCTTCTGAAGCCTCCTTGGAAAATGCAGCAATGGGTGGGACTCATGGGGCCATCTGCTGGACATGGCACAGCGGCATCCCCAGCCCTGAGAAGCAGCTTCGTCCCCTGGCCGCTGCTTGGGCACATGGTCTTTGGGAGGACCTGTCTTGGCTCCTCCTGATGGGTCCTGGGCTTTCAGATGCTACAGAGGGGGCGGCATGGAGATGTGGCTCGCCCCATGTGCTCCCCAATTCCTGCATGCCCTGTGTGGTGAGGAGGAGGTGAGCCACCTGGGGACGGATGCTCGGGAGCTGAGCTGGAGGGAGAGGTGCTGGACGAGGCCTCTGCCAGGCCAAGCAAGGTGTGGGGAATCCGGGGTGCCTCTGGGTGTGATTCTGTTGGGGGGAGCTTTGGCTCCCCTTAGAGGGCCAAGGCTTCCCTCCCTGCTCTGCTCGCTTTGCCCCAGACCCATCGTCCTGCTCCATGGGCAGAAGGGCCGGGTGAGCTCTCTGAGCGAGCCCTTCACCCACCCCGGCCAGGTGCAGAGCAGCTGCAGCCTCTTGAAAGCTGAGCCCTCCTGAGTCTTCTGGGCAAGGCAGGGGAGCCCAGGGAGGCTGGGGGCTGCTCAGAAGGAACGGAGCTGTCCTGGTTCTGGAGGGGGGGGAGCCCCACCCAAAATGGGGAAGAAGGTGGCAAAAGGGCCTCCAGTTTCGGAATCTGCCGAGGAGGTTTCCAAAGTCCTCAGGGCCGCCTTGTCCTTGAGAGGGAAGGAGGGTGCTTCCTGGTCTCTGGGTGGCCCAGATAAGCCTCTCATTGCACAAACACCTTCGCTTTAGAATCCTTTGTGCTTCTCTTAGAAAGAGCTGCCATGCGGGAACACTTTGCACTGGCATCCTCCCTCCTCCGTGGGTGGGGCCCTTTTCTAGCCTCTTGAAAATGGAGAGGGGGGGTAACCGGCTGGCCACGTGCAGCGGCCCTTGGCCTGATTCCTGCAAGAGGCCAGCTCAGACCTCTGGAAGGAGCCGCCCTTTGCAGCTGGGGCACAGTTAGTTAGTTTAGTTTATAGTTTAATAACATTTATATGCCACCCAATCCCGTAGGACTCCGGGCGGCTAACAGTACTAAAATAATCAAAAAAGAAAAAAAAGTAAGATACAAGAAAGAGAGATAGAAATAAAATACAACACATCATGCACTCCATTCTGAAAGGGGCTGGACCGTATTTGGGGTCAACAACCCCAGGCCTGCCGGAACAGCCAGGTTTTAATGGCTTTGTGGAAGGCCGAGAGAGTGGGAATGGTCCGGATCTCTATGGGTAGATTATTCCACAGGGCTGGGGCAGCTACAGAGAAAGACCTCCCCCGAGTAGTCGCCAACTGGCATTGCCC